TGAAAAAACAGAATTTGCACTCAGTCATTTTTTCTAGTAGGAGAAAATCTCTCACTCTAGTAGTAGAGTAAGGTTAGTGTCGATTGACCCTGAACTGGCTCTGTTTTCTGTCGCTACTCAGCACATGTTGGTCCCAGTTTGGCCACCTTCATGAAAACCTTCTGGCTCTACAACTGTAGGCTTTGTGCCAATAATTGGCCAATAATTGTCTCAAATATTGCAATGCTGGTCTCTTTAACATTCTGATGGTTTCGGACAACAACCCTAATTCATGTGAATTTCAGAGATCTAGATTTTTACATCAACAAGATTATCCACAAAGCCTGACGCATCCCTCCTGACAGGACTGCAATTAGGACCAGACCAGAAGATCACATTAAAAGACTCTTCGGTGTCTTCAGTTTTCCATTTCAATCTGAAAAACTCACACGAAGAGAAAAGACAATTAGGAGAAACTTACTGATACAATTACTTTGTCTTTGGAGCTCAGACCTCGGCAGGAAACATAGAACTCAATTTTGATAGATATGCATGAACAAGAGCAAAGAAGAGGGCTGTTTCCCTCCCCAAACTGGTGGTGGAGTGGAGATAGATGAAATTGGTCAGTCTGTAGACTGCTGGTTAGCGAGACGGTAAGCTGAGCTTTATGGGGAGATCCAATGGATTGCATGAGCTGATACTAGAGCTTCACTCAGGGACCTGGAAAATGGAAGTCCAGCTTGATAACACAGGTTGAGAGAACCTGTCCATGATGAGCAAGCATGAAGCGACAGTGGAGAGGAAAAACTCCCTATTGGGAAAAAACCTCTGGCAGAACCAGGCTCAACATGGCTGTCTTCTGCCGGACCGGTTAAGATAAGACAGGGAACGCAGAAAGAGTCCAGGAGGAATTACACTCTGATGAAGCTTTAGCTACGATGGTGGAGGAGGGGATGGAGGTGGGTTGAAAGTCATCTGAATGAAGCCACACAGCGCATCCACCGCCTGCGCACAGGAGCAGACAGGTGCGTATCAGAGGCCTTTTAAGATGAACTTTGGATGCCGATAGGCTTTCGTGAAGGTGGGGTTCAACGTTGATTGGCTGTGTAGCAGGTGGATGTAGGAAAGCAATTATTTTCTTCAGTTGAACTTCCACTTAGGCTCCATATTTCAGGTCAGCTCATAGACCTGTGCAAACACTGATCACCTGTTTATTCTGTAGAAATGTGCAGGGCTTGTGGTTGAAGAGGAGCAGCATATAAGTTGGCTTTGCTTCAGGTCTTCAAATTTATCAAAGTGTTACTTATAGTCTCTAGAAATTTTACATTAAAAGTATAGTGGAGAAAGTTCCCTTTTTGGGTGGATAATCAAAATAAGTGGTCGTTCTAATTGTCAATCATTCTGGTGATATGTTTACATAAGGCCATCCTACATGTTTGTCCCAATTTTCACTTACCAGTGGTGACTCTGACATATTGGAAAAATTACAAATCTTTTGGAAAGTAAGCTTATATGAGCGATGCAAACAGCAGAAAACAGAGCGTTCACGAGGAGAAATGGGCTTTTGCATGCTTTTGCAAGCGTTTAACAGGCTTTCCATCTTGGGAGCACGGTTGTGTATATCCAAGTGGAGAGCGCGGGTATTTTCAAAAAATGTGTGAAAATCCTCCACTATACCTTTAATATGTACAAAACCTTCTCTCATGATATATTCCTTCTGTAG